TTTACCGGGAACATTTCGGGAAACACCAGGAATCACCGAAAAACGTCACAAATCCGCGACATCACCTCAACGACCAACGGCCACGGTCAGGAGACGCGCGACCGCGGTGGATGAGGGCTCGGCCGCGGTCGCATTCACGGTGCCGCGGTCGATGCACCTTTTGCCGCGGTCCCGTCAGTTGCGACCGCGGGTCTTCCTCCTGCGGCCTATTTTTCAATCTTCTCGTCTTTGCCGGGCCGAGCAGCTAAAGACCTACCTTTTTCTCTTTGGTTTTACTAATTTTCTGATTTTTTTGTGTTTTTATTTTATAAAATACCTAAAACTTAAAAAGAAAGCATAAATTCTAAAATGGAAAAGAAAATTAAAAGAAAGAGTACCTAAATGGGTTGCCTCCCATTAAGCGCTTTTGTTTTAAGTCGTTTAGCTCGACGTAAGTATGATGAATCAGGCTGATTTGAATGGCACTCCACTTGATGTGCCTTTATCACTTCCGGTTGGTGGAGGTTTTACTTCTTCCCCTTGAAGAGAAATCTTCTTACCTTTAATCTTCTTTCGGACCTTAATGTTGTTCAGAACCCTTTTTGTGTTTTCGATCAGCTCATGGATTTGGTCCTCACTAGTTTCTGTTGCATCTGGTGGAATGATGATTTTGATCTTTGAAAAAGCTTTCGGCTTCTCCTTTTCTTTCTCTTTTGGCCTGTTTCCTTTGCTTGGAAATTCATCTAAGATAGTAAGATAGTACCTTTTTCTGTCCACATTGAGGAAAACAGCACGCCGGTTTGCGTGATCGATTATTGCTCCTACTGTAGCTAGGAATGGCCTCCCGAAAATGAGTGGCCTCTCCTTGTCTTTATCCATCTCCAGGATTTGGAAATCTGCTGGAACAATCTTATCTCCCACTAGAATTTGTAGATCATGAATCGCCCCTTCAGTATCTTTTTGAGATGAATCTCCAAAGATAACCTTAACCGTCGATGTCCTTAAGGTTTTTATGCCCAATTTTTCGGCAAATGTCTTAGACATGATGTTAACATTGGCTCCGGAATCGCACAAGCAGTCTGTAAACTTGACTCCTGAAATGAAACACTGGAAAACAAAACGTCCCGGATCATCGGCTTTGGTAAGCCTTTGAAACGGTGATCGTTCGGGTACCTTAAACGGTGGCTGCTTGGGATCGATATCCTTGTACAGTGGTACAAAGATCGGGATTTCTTCTTCCTTTCCATCGGTTCCGGACTCTTCTTCGGGCAATGTGGTTATTGCGTTGCAAAACTTCTTAGGGTTATCTTCAACTCTTCCTGGAAGAACTCCACTTTGCCTCTTCATAGAGTCGGCTGTTAGGGCAACCTGCACATCTAACTTTTTTACGTGCAAAGATAAAGATTCAAACTTACCATTCAGATCATTGTACATGCAGTCCACTTTCTCGTTCACGTCTTTAGATGCTTTTTCATTCGTCATAACGAGTTGTTGGATTGACTGTTCAAGTCTACCGATTTGTGAAGCTAGCTGGTTCGTCGTGACTCCCTGCTGTTGTACGAATTGATTGTTAAAATTCGTACCTTGGTAGTTATATGGCTGTCGCGGTTGGTATGGTACTATTCCTCCAAAGTTTCCGCCTTGAAACTTGTTTTGGAATGATTTTTGCTGAGGTGGATAGTACTGATCTTGAGGATTCTCCACATTTGGATTGCGTGATATGTCTATATTTTACATCATTTAGATTGCATTATAGAGTCCTCATCATGTGTTTTCTCATGTAAATTGAGTCTTTAGGCGTTAAAATAGGACTTAGGGCTTGCATTAGGTCCCAAAGAGTTTTGCATGTTTTGCAGTCTTTATCAGGAGCTTTGGAGACCAATTGGAGCCTAAGAAGAGGAACAGAAAAGAAAACAGTGAAGAAAAGGGTCAAAATGGTGAAAACCGCTTGGAGGAATTTCTCGGCCAAATCTCGTACCGGCTGGTCGGAAACCTCGGCCAAAATGTTTACCGGACGCTCATTACCGGCCAAAAACCTTACCGATCGGCCAGAATCGAGTATCGAGTGCAAAAATACCACGGGACAAGTTTTTGACCGAGGCAAGAATTTTTACGACCAAAAAGCTTACCGCGGTACACAGCCCTCGGCCATTTTTCTTACCGCGGGAAGGTTTTTACGACCAAAAGTTGTCTTTGCCCGCGCAATTCAGAGATCAGCAATCCGGGGAATCTTCCGGTCCGAATCAGTTGGAGGGGTCTTCACCAAAGTTGGAGATAATCAAGCAAAGATTCCAGAACAGTTGGAATCATCCAATTCGGACCAGTGGAGAGAAAGATATGGCTTCCGGAGCATTCACCAGCATTGCGCGTACCCGAGAACTGAACGGCGAACTTCAAAGATCATGGCGGACGGAGCCCCTCCAGACCGAACCAGCTTACCCGGTCTTCACAAAAGTTCGAGATCCATGGAAGATCTTCTCAGAGCATTTGGAATCGCTCAATTCGGAGCAAAGGTTTGGAAGATGGTCTCCGGAGTTCACATCGGTCTTAAAGTCTATTTTCCGGTGATTTCAATGCGGCGCAAAGATGTTAAATCCAGGAAGCCTTCCACTCCCCAAGCTCCGATGGTTTCTTCACCAAAGTTCGAGCTTATTGAGTCATCTTGACTGTGGAACTGGTCCCAGAGCAATTGGAGTCGTCTGCTGAAAGTTACTGCTTCCGGAAGGTGACATGGTCGATACAAGCCTAAAAGAGTTGCGATACGCGCTACGTATTTTCACAAGCCTCGGTATCTTTACCTTGGCGTCACTCAAGTCGAGGCTCATATCTTGGAAGTATTCTGGACTAGACCTCGTGCCAAAGCCTTGGCATGGTTAAATCGAGGCATGCATACGTAAGAACTGAAGCTGGAAACGACTAAGTGTTGAAAGTACACCTCGGTGTAATGACCTCGGCGTGCATGCCGGACTGTGTTCTCCCAAGCACCTCGACATCATGACCCCTCGACATTTTATCCCGAGGTCCCTTGTCACGAACCCAGAATCAAGAAAAGAATGGCTCAAGAACATACACGTGAGGATAGATCAAAGACTAGGGTTCATGCATGTTCTTGACGTGTTCTTCACGAGATCTTCATCTTGATCCTGACTCACGTGCACGCCTCGGCATGAAGACCTCGGCTTCACTTTCCGACACACCGTGGCACTCACCCATCAACCCAAGAAGGAGGTTCAGTACCCGGTTTGTTCCGGGCTGACCCGCGACACTTTCCCTTTGCTATAAATACATTTTGAGACTAAAAACCTAGTTATCTTATCTCTTATCTGTTTTTTAGCTCTAAGAACTTGCCTTTTTTGTGAAACTTGATTAATCTAATCCGATATCTCGTTTTTGCATCAGAATCTTGTTCTTTCTTTATTTCTTTTATCATCCAACTTCAAACTCCTTATCATGACTAGCTACACGTCTTGCAAAGGACTTAGTGAGCTCGCTATGATCAGTGAGTAGTCGTTTAAGCGGCTTTAGATAGGTAGATTAGGGTGCTTTCAAGGTGGATTAATGGGTTTAGGTGTCTAGTCTTGCATGTTTCATTCCTTAATCGACGAGATCTCTAAGCTGGATCCAAGCACATCACTTGAGGTTCAGATCTGAGACATATCTCGCATCAGAAGTGTTTGTAGAAATCTCTGAACCACTCGATTAAGGGTTTAAGAGTCTTTCATCGCGAGAGTGATAGTTTGTTCTCTTAAATGACGTTTTTGAACCGATTCTTATTGCTGACTGATTCGTGCTTCTCAAAAGGGATTTTGGTATGAAAGAGGATCAGTTTAGACGTTTAATACTTTCATGAGAAGATTAACGTGCCTTGAGTTCAAAGTCAAATGAAATCGTTTGATAAAATGATTCATTAGCCCCTTAGTCTAACTTGGAAGCACCTGAGTCAAATATCCTGTCTAAAGCTTCTGCCTTTATCATTCATTACCATCATCTGAATCACCTGTTTGTTATTTGCATCTTGATTAGTTTAAATCTCTGCTTTTATTTAACTTTATTGCTCATTTGCCTGTTAATCATCGTCACCAAACTTTTATCATCGTCTTGACTTAAGTGAACAAATGACATAGGCTAGTGTCTCGTTTACAAGCTTGGTTTGACACCCCTTATACTACTTTGACAAGGGGATTGATAACCCTTCTAAGAGCCTGAAAACTCTTAGTTATCAATTGGCGCCGTTGCCAACTTGTAGGAGCATTAGTCTCTTGTTTGTTCTTGAGTTCAAGCTTTTCTTTCCTTTGTTTTACTAACTTCTTTCCAAGTTCTTGTTTTGTTTTCAGGTGCATGAATACCAGGTCTCGGAGCACAGGATCGCTTTTCCCATACGACGATAACATCGACAGATTAGAAAGGCGAGCTCGCGAGAGAGAACGGCACTTTGACAGACTTGGAATGGCAGAACAACAGAGAATGGAGCAACAGGCTCAGGCAGCCGAGCACCAGGCTCAGGCTAATCAGGCGCAGGCAGGAAGAAATGAACAACAAGCCTATGTTAATCAGCAACAAGCTCAAAGAAACGAACGGCTTGCTCAGCAAAACCAACACCAAGCGAATAGAAATGAGCAACAAGCCCATCATGTTCATCCGCCACCTCCAAAAGTTCAATCTGTGTTGGAGAGAATGACCGAGCTAATGCGCACCAATACCGAGCTGGGATTCAAGCTCCACCAGTTAAAAACAACAACTTTGAAGTTAAAGCTTCCCTACTCAATATGGTGCAAAACTCAAAGTTCCACGGTCTGGCTGGAGAAGACCCTCTCGAGCATCTAGATCAATTTGATCGGGTTTGCGACTTAACCAAGATAAATGGCGTGTCCGAAGATAGTTTCAAGCTACGCTTGTTCCCTTTCAGCCTCAGTGATAAAGCACACCAGTGGGAAAAGAATATACCGAGGGGTTCTATACAAACCTGGGAGCAGTGTAAACTGGCGTTCTTATCAAAGTTCTTTTCCACATCACGCACGGCTAAGCTCAGGAATCAGATCTCAAGTTTCACGCAGCACAATAACGAGAGATTTTGTGAAGCTTGGGAACGGTTTAGAAGCTACACTAACCAATGCCCACACCACGGCTTCTCAGAGGCATCCCTCTTGAGTACTTTCTACCGAGGTGCACTCCCCAAGATCAGAAACCAACTCGATACAGCTTCAAATGGGAATTTTCTTGGAAAAGAGATCACTGCGGCAATGGAACTAGTTGAGAACCTAGCCATGTCCAATGACACGTATGGAGAGGACTTTGATAGAACAAACCGTACAGAGGGATCTAGTGATGAACAGCGCATGAAAAAGGATATAAGAGAGCTTCAGAGTAAGCTTGACAAGGTTTTGATGGCGACTCAAAAGCCAATACACTTTGTAGGCGAGTTTGATGAGCAAGGGCCAAGTTTTGACAATGTTAATGAAGATGGTCTAACACAGGAGGAGTTGAATTACATAGGGAATCAGCAGAGGTATCAGCGGTTTAACAACTACAACAGTAACCCAAACCTCTCATACAGAAACCCGAATGTAGCTAACCCTCAAGACCAAGTGTACCCTGCTCAACAACAACAACAAAGCTATGCTCAAAAGGCTCCTTTTCAGAATACCTTCCAGCCCAAGCAACAGTTCAGTGGGCAACAGCACGGCTACACTCAGCAGAATCAAGCGGCTCAGAGTAACAATTTCAACAACCAACCGCAGCAACACAAGTTTCCACCAGGGTTCCATCCGCAGCCGATGGGTAATCAACAACAGATTCAGGGAACGGGTCAGAATCAAATGGGGAACGACGTCTGTGGGATACTACAGCAACTGTTACAGGGCCAGCAAAGGGTTGAGAGCCAGCACGCGACAATGCAGCAAGATATCAGAGAGCTTAAGCAGAATCAAGCTTCTACATCATCAAGAGGCCCGACTTTACCAGGTAAACCGGAGCCGAACCCTAAAGAGTATGTGAACGCCATCACATTGAGGAGTGGTAAGGAATTACAAACTCCAACGCCTAAGACAAAGCTCATTGAGGCGAATGAGCAATTAGAGGGGGAGGCAGCCTCAGACGATGCGTGTAAAGAAGCGGTCTTAGAGAAGGAACGGATCAAGGACAAAGAAAAAGAGGTGGAAAAGACAACCGAGCTTGAAAAGCCCTATGTTCCACCACCACCTTATCAACCCAAGATACCGTTCCCAGGGCGTTTCAAAAAGAAAATCCTAGACAAGGCCAAGGCGGTCTTTGAGAAACACTTGGAGAACACGCAACTCACCTTACCCATTATAGATGCTTTCTTAGCTATACCCCAGCTTGGGAAGTTTCTAAAGGACGCGATCCTCAACAAGACAAAGGAGCTCCAGGGTATGGTGATACTGAGCCATGAGTGCAGTGCCATAATACAAAGGAGATCTATACCAAGGAAGCTATCCGATCCGGGCAGCTTCACTTTGCTGTGTGGTTTAGGTCACCTGAAGTTCTCAAACTGTTTATGTGACCTTGGAGCTTCTGTAAGCTTAATGCCTTACACGGTGGCCAAGAGATTGGGATACAAAAGCTACAAGCCAGCCAAGATCTCTCTTGTATTAGCTGATAGATCGGTTAGATTACCGGTGGGGTTGCTTGAGGATCTATCTTTGAGGATCGGTGAGATAGAAATCCCCACGGACTTCATAGTTCTTGAGATGGACGAGGAACCATTAGACCCTATCATCTTGGGCCGACCGTTCTTAGCAACCGCAGGAGCCATAATAGATGTGAGAGGAGGAATGATTGAACTACACATCGGTTCCGAGACTATGAAGTTCAACGTGAAGGAAATGATGGAGAAACCGACCATTGGAGGTCAGGTTTTCTATGTGGAGGTAATGGAGGAGCTGGCTGATGAGCTCCTTGAAGAGTTGAACGCAGAGGATCCGTTACAAGTGGTCTTAACGCGGGAACAAAGCAAACACGGGTACTTGAACGAGGAAAGCGAGGTGTACAAGCGTCTTTTGGACCAACCGAGGGAACTTGGAGCTGAGGCGAGGTTTTTGGAGCTCCACACGAGCAGCCTCGACATTCTAGAAAGCGAGGAGTCAAAGGGAAAAGAAGAGACACCTCGGGATATCATGGCCGTGACAACTCATACCGAGGCCGATGGTAAACCGCGCGAGAATGAAGCAGAGGCCGAGGAAGCTGTTCCGGGCCAATGCAGCTTTGATGCCGATTGGAATGAGGCAGACGCACCCCCTGTTGAGCTCAAGCCTCTACCAACAGGGCTCAGGTATGCATTCTTAGGTCTAAACTCTACATTTCCTGTGATCATAAACGATAACTTGCTTGAGCATGAGGAACGTGCATTACTTAGTGAAATAAGGAAATTCAGGAGAGCCATAGGGTATTCCTTGGCTGACATTAGAGGAATCTCTTCTGATATATGCACCCACAGGATCCACCTAGAGGACCAAGCCATGTCCTCTATTGAGCACCAACGTCGACTTAATCCGAACCTCGAAGAGGTGGTTAAGAAGGAGATACTAAAGCTCCTTGAGGCAGGGATAATATATCCAATCTCTGACTCTCGGTGGGTATCTCCTGTACATGTTGTGCCCAAGAAAGGTGGGATCACGGTGGTGAAAAACGATAAGGATGAACTCATAGCCCAAAGAACTATAACCGGCCATCGCATGTGCATTGACTATAGGAAATTGAATTCTGCATCAAGAAAAGATCATTTTCCTTTACCATTCATTGATCAAATGCTTGAACGGTTAGCTAATCATCCTTATTTTTGTTTTCTTGATGGATACTCGGGGTTCTTTCAAATACCTATAGACCCCCGAGATCAAGAGAAAACGACATTCACCTGCCCTTATGGCACTTATGCTTATAGAAGAATGCCATTCGGTTTGTGTAATGCACCGGCCACTTTTGAAAGATGTATGATGCACATTTTCTCTGATCTAATTGAAGAGAAAGTTGAGGTGTTTATGGATGACTTCTCCGTATACAGCTCCTCTTTCTCCGAATGTCTTGCTAATCTTTCTCAGGTTCTCAAGCGGTGTGAGGAGCATAGGCTTGTCTTAAACTGGGAAAAGTGTCATTTCATGGTCCAAGAAGGCATTGTCTTGGGACACAAGGTATCAGAGAAAGGCATCGAGGTGGATAAGGCCAAGATCGAGGTGATGGTGAACTTACAAGCCCCGAATTCTGTGAAAGGAATAAGAAGCTTCCTTGGCCACGCTGGGTTCTATAGACGGTTCATCAAGTATTTCTCCAAGATAGCCAGGCCTTTGACCAGGTTATTGTGCAAAGACGTGGATTTCAACTTTGATGAAGAATGTGAGGAAGCGTTCAAGAGAATCAAGGAGGCTTTGATCAGTGCACCGATTGTACAAGCCCCTGATTGGTCTTTACCATTTGAAGTGATGACCGATGCATCTGATTATGCTGTAGGAGCTGTCTTGGGACAGAAGAAAGATAAGAAGCTCCATGTGATCTACTATGCCAGCCGCACTTTGGACTTGGCTCAAGAAAAGTATGCCACCACCGAGAAGGAAATGCTTGCCATTGTGTTTGCATTTGACAAATTCAGGAGTTATCTAGTGGGATCAAAGGTCACGGTTTACACAGATCACGCGGCCTTGAGGTACCTGATGTCTAAGAAGGACGCTAAGCCGAGGCTTTTGAGATGGGTCTTATTGCTCCAAGAATTTGACATGGAGATACTTGATAAGAGGGGCATTGAAAACGGAGCCGCACACCTCTCGAGGCTGAGGATTGAAGAACAGGTCCCTATAAATGATGCTTTACCCGAGGAACATCTCATGTTAGTCCGGTCTTACTTAGAGGTGGCGGAAGCCAATACGATCAAGGAAAGAAGCCTTCCATGGTTTGCGGATCTTGTGAACTACTTGTCTTGCAGATTAGAGCCTCCAGATCTTGATACTTATCAGAGGAAGAAGTTCTTTAGAGATGTGATGAGGTATCATTGGGATTATCCGTATCTTTACGTGCTTAACAAGGACCATCTCTATAGGCGATGCTTGGCCGAAAAAGAGATCCATCCAGTGCTACAAGAATCCCACGGCTCATCGTATGGTGGTCATTTAGGTGCGTTCAAGACAGTTGCCAAGGTTCTACAGAGCGGTTTCTGGTGGCCGACCATGTTCAAAGACGCCCAGGAAGTGGTCTCGAGGTGTGAAGCTTGTCAAAGGCACGGAAACATATCCAAAAGGAATGAAATGCCCCAAAACCCAATCTTTGAAGTAGAAGTCTTCGACTGTTGGGGCATTGACTTCATGGGTCCCTTTGTAAGCTCATATGGGAATCAATATATCCTTGTAGCAGTGGATTATGTGAGTAAATGGGTTGAAGCGGTTGCATCTCCGACCAACGATTCAAAAGTGGTGGTAAAACTCTTCAAGAGTATCATCTTCCCACGGTTTGGAGTACTGATACGTTCATAATTTGCACCATTTAGGTTGCATAAATCATTCCAAATCATGTTTTATTTCATGCATTTTAGGTCCTTAGGGTTTGTTTTAGAACTTAGGAGATGCATTAGGTCCCAATGAGTCTTTGCATGTTTTGAGTGTCTATCAGGTGAATATGGAGCTGAAAAGACGAATCCAGGAGGTGGAATGGTGAGCAAAGCTTGAAAAAGTGGAAAACTTGGGTCTATGGAGGTTATCGGCCATTCTCGCTGGCCAGGAAGGTTTTGTCGACCATTTTCACGTACCGCGGGTGGACTTTGTCGACCAAAACACGTACCGCGAGTGAAGTGTATCGGCCAAAATATCCGGGTGCAAACATGTCTCAGAAATCGCCTGTCCGGGGAACTTTCCGATCCGATTCAGATGGCGGGTGATTCATAGAAGTTGGAGAGCATTGCATCACGGTCTCTTAGCAAGTGGAATCGTGGAATTCGGACGCGTGAGCAGAGAGATAAGCTTGTCAGAAGGAACCCCAGTCTCGCAGATCAGTCCTAAAGGATGCGAAGGACGGTGCACTTCCAGGCAGATTTAGTTTCCGGGTCCTTCATGAGAACCAGAGACATTCGAGTCTTCTTTCCAGAACGTCCAAGAGCATTCAATTCGGATCTATGAGCAGAAAGATACGGTC